TTATCCCGTCAATCAATAGACATTGCAGATAGCACATTTCTATCTACTTTTCTATTACAACAATTGAAATTGAAGACTACGCTTGATTATTTCCTACATTACTAAGAAAAGGAATATAGTATATAAATTCAACAGATTTGATGAGTAAGAAATATTGACTAGGTAATTTACGTAATTCGCAATTCATGTGTTTTAAATCCTCTGAAGGGTCATAATATCGCATAATAATTCATTTCATGATCATAAATTTATTTATTTATATCAAATGGCAGGCGTTTTGATAGTTATAATTAGCCCTGGAGCTGACTTCGGGGCTTCACAGAGAGGAGAAGGAACATCAAAGTGACAAAAAGTCGAGAGGGGAAACAGAAGAGTGATTCACAGATGTAAAAGAGACAGACAGACACAATGGCATAAAAAAGGTAAAATGAGTACTGTGAAAATGGTCGAATATGACAAAAAGCCGGGCCATAGTAGTTTGAAGTGAGAAGTCAACTGCCAGTTAATAGACTTTTTTGCCGTATGAGTATACGTTGCCCAGGGTGCACCACGTGGAGGTGAGTCTATTGCGCACCCCATGATCATAAATAGAATATGTAAGGGTGAAAAACATTGCATTTAAGTTTTGAAAACCTTGGAGACAGCATTAGTTGTAGATTATTGATTTTTTTATTTAAACTTGCATCTGTTATATGCTGACCAGTAGATTCTATGAACGCAAGGATTTTAAAAAGCAAAACCTAAAAGACTTACTTTGCTCTCCTTTTACTTCAATCGTCTTTATTCACATTTTCAATAAATTTATTAAATAAATTTTGAAAATTTAGGTTTATTTGCAATATATGCTATTGTGTTTGTCAATTTTTATTGCTCGTTTTAGTTCGTTTTTCTCTCTCTCTCGGACTCCTGTGCGTGTGCTACTAGTTAAGTAAGAGTACAATTCGAATTCAAAATATCCTAAAAAACAGAAATGAACGAAATGTCACCAATTAGATCGATATTTTTTATGTGTTACTGCCTAAGCCTATAAAAATATTACTTAAATAGTTAGAGATCATGAGGAATATGCCTGATACGAATCAGCTGAGTCGATAGGGCTAACATAAACCAGAATGACCTTGATATCTTAAAAATTTATACCACTCTCTTTACCACTCACTAAACTCTGTAAGATAACTAATGTCACGTAAAATCAGATTAACATCTCAACATCCACAAAGTGACAAAAATGAGCACCGGTTTTCATATTTACTAATTTCTTTCAATTGTAAACGAACTAACAATAAAATTAAATTTTTTAACCGTTAATTGCACAAATTAAAAAAGCATATGAAGTGAAACTTTTTGATACATTGGCTCTACCCGTAATAGTTTCGACGTGCCAGCATCTGATACTATTGAAATAGGCCTTGAATGAATCTCAAAGGTCTTTTTTTATCAAAATTGCCCCGAAAATTAGCTAGACTACATTTAACGTGTAGAGAGACACACAGCATACAGGTGAAAGGTCGTTTGTTATTACCCATCGCCACGGACACAAAGCTTAGGCGTTAAAATGCAATTAATGATACGCAACGTGGCGGTGACTATCGATTGTTCTCACCACCGCACTTGCTCGATGTCCTAACGAGAGCACACCGCATATGAGATCAATTTGATTAACCTTGGAAGTAGTGTATACTCAATAATCCCCTACTCAATGACTTCTCATTACACCAAAGTCTCTTTAGTTTTCAATAATCTGCCTAACAATTTTAGTCATTAGACTAATAGTTATCTGCGCGAGAGTTTATATAGTGAGTAAACTGAATATTTGTAGTACTTGCTTACATGGAGAGGGGTGTGCGATAGACAAACCTCCAAGTGGTGCACCCTGGTCAGCGTATACCCATACGGCATAAAAAGTCTATTAACCTGCAGTATACTTTAAACAACCATGGCCGAACACTCTTGTCAATTCAACCACCCACGCAATACTCACCTTACCTTTTTCTCTACCTACATGTCTGTCTTTTACACCTGGGAATCACTCTTTTGTCCCCCCCCCCCACTGACTTTTTCTCACTTTGTTGTTCCACCCCTCCATGAAACCCGAAGTCAATTAAAGGGCTGATGATAACTGTCAAAACGCCTGCCATTTGATATAAATAGCGAAACGTTTACATGGGAAATAGCAGATATTGGTAAAGGATAGCAAAATTCGAGTGGTTTTAGTTTTTTATTTTGAGAGCCATAGTTACTGTCAACAATGCCTCCACTGACTGTCTTTTATAACTTGACACATTGGTTCTGTTAGATTTATGTGAGATCATCTCTTACTTTTTGGAAAAATAAAGCATGAGCTGTAAGAATTTGTCAATATAAATTTTCAATAATAATTAAATTTATACATATACACATTTGCTTTATTCTTTTCCACTTCTTTTTAAACTCACCATTGCGTGAGCGGTAGTTGTTTTTGGTCTTCTAACAGGCAACTTTCTAACTTAATGATTGAAATTAATGATTGAAGAAGGCGCGCTCCTAGTTTTAAACCCTTAGTAATTTAAAGTTAATTTAAGAGATATTTTGAGTTTTTGAAGCGAGTTTAAAATTTTCTAATTTTAACATGTTGTTTTGTTTACTTATTGAGATATTTGAATTAAATTTCCCAAAAGTCTAAGTTTTTACTCTCTCTCTCTTCAGGGCATCGCATGATTGACAACGATTTAGTTTTGTCGTGCGTAAGACAGCTATAAAATCCATTTTTCCTACAAAATAAAACAGCATTTAACTTAAATCGACCGATATAAAATTGATTTAAGTTGCTTAGTTTAAAATCTTAATAATATGTTAAAAATATTTAACTTCACTTAACAAACGATTTTAAGAAAATTATCTTATGAGTGGAAACTATTGATTCTCTTGTTATCTATAGTCATGAGGTAATGTGTTGCTATATGTTGTTTGTTTAAATGTTGTAGATTAAATTACTATATACCCCTGTTAATAGAGAGTATTATTAAATAAATACCAATTTTCACATTTTCGTATTTTATTATAAAAAATCAGTGAATAAAAATAATTCAGTCTGGGTGATTTGGTGAGAAGGACATGTAGGCAAATGCCGACAGAGTTGGAGGTATTTGATCGACAATGTCTCCTGATTAAAATCCCATTTCTTCGAGAAAATAATGCAAATCTTTTTCAGTCAAATGCAAATCAGGATCACCGGTGATGGATTTAATGAATTTCCTTGTATCTTTGAGAGTTACACCCTCCACAAGTGGTTGGAGAACTCGCAACAAATCCTCGGCGGAGACAGAATTCTTTCGATCTTTATCCAGACTGTCAAGAAATGTTTTAACTTCAATTCCACTGCAAAAAAATCAATAGATTACCCACTACCCTGATTTTTAATTAATTTTTCAGGTAGATAAAGTTAGTGGATATCAAGAGTTAGTTTTTCTTACCTTGGCATTCTGCTGTTATAGAGAGAGAGAGAGACAGAGACAGTGAAGCAATATAGAAATGTGAAAATCGCTTGCAATATATGCTTTATATTTTCGTGGGTGTGCTGTTTTCTGAGGGCTGTTTGAGACCAATAAAATATGAAAATGTGATGCCAAATTAGAATCTTTATTTAGAAGTTAAGTTGAAAATATTAGCATTGGCTATATACTAGGAATTATGGTTTATGTGAATGGATGTTAGTTGGGCAACCACTGCGACTCATGGTCATTCTTATTGAATTTTCTGAGTTACTATATATTTTAACATATTTTATAAAAATAGGAAATTATTACTCTTAGGATTTGCAAATAGTAAACTTATTTATTCATTTATATCAAATGGCAGGCGTTTTGATAGTTATCATAAGCCCTTTAGTTGACTTCAGGCTTCACAGATGGGAAGGAACATCAAAGTGAAAGAGGTCGAGATGGGAGGGAGGGACAGAAGAGTGTTTCAAAGATGTAAAAGAGACAGACACAAAGTTGGAAAAAAGGTGAGGTGAGTACGGTTAAAGAAGTCGAATTTGACATACAGTGGGGTGATGGTAGTTTGGAGTCTGAAGTCAACTGCCGGTTAATAGACTTTTTTGCCGTATGAGTATACGTTGCCCAGGGTGCACCACGTGGAGGTAAGTCTATCGCACACCCCGCAAATAGTAAACTACTTTGATAAATTTCATTTAAAGTAAAACAATTACCAAATGGGCTGTCAAGAGCCAGACTGACAAAATGGGGAATAGATCAGTAGTGGCAAAAGGAAGGGAAGATTGTAGTAAATAGTGAAGATACAATTTCAATTGAATGAACAATTGGATCCAGGAGGTTCAATTTCCTGAATCAGATGATGTTCACTGAGCCTTATTTCCTGGTGGGGCCAAGCACATATTTCTAGAACACTTTTATGTCTGTGGGACTTGGAGTTGCTTGAACTGACCGAATCGATTCAGTAATACTTTCTCACATACATAAATAGGTAGTTAAGACTGACAAGAGTAATTTACAAGAAAGAAAAAGAAAGAAATGATTTCACTTATTTTAGTAATATAGAATGTTAAGGCTTCGTTCGGGCTGTGTTTTCAAGCATATACATTAGTCAAATAATTGAAATAAATATTTAAAAAATCGATGGGAATGTAGGAAACAGTCGAGTAGCATTTAGATAGCGTTTAGAGCCAATTAAAATTTTTTCTGAAAGGATGGACAAATTTATTTTACAATATCTATCCTAATATTATTAAAATATTAATTTTTATTTTTAATATATCAACTTTTGGACTGAACGATAGCTTGTAGCGGATTGCTACTTTATTAAAGCCTGACGTGGTTAAAGACTTGTAGCGGATTGCTACCTTAGTAAAGCCAGACCGGTTGAGAATTGTAACGGATTGCTACCTTAGTAAAGCCTGACCGGATTGCATTGTAGCGGATTGCTACGCTAGTAAAGCCTGACCGAAATCTCTATGGCAGATTCTCCAACACCTAGCTAGACTCCCAGAACAGCTAAGCTATAGCTCCACGGATTGCTACGCTAGTAAAGCCTGACTGACTCAGAAATATTGCTACTCTAGTAAAGCCTGACTAACTCAGAAATCTCTGGCTACGCTAGTAAAGCCTGACTGACTCAGAAATCTCAATGGGAGATCCTCCTACATCTAGCTAGACTCCCAGAACCAGCTAAACACCTTAGTAAAGCCTGACTGACTCAGAAATCTCGATGGCAAGATTTCCTACATCTACCTGACTCCCAGAACCAGCTAAGCTATAGCCCAGCTATGAAAGACTCCCAGAACCAGCTAAGCTATAGCCCAGCTATGAAAGGATCTCCCAGAACCAGCTAAGCTATAGCCCAGCTATAAAGAAATCAAGAACCAGCTAAGCTATAGCCTAGCTATAAAGGAAACAGATGTGTGGCACGAAGCACGTTTATTCAGGACGTATATTGTGGATAACGTATGTACACGCAGGGAGCTACTCATGATCAGGATGGGGGATTAGGTTAAACAGAGGTTGATGACTGGTCACTGTTTGTACGGCCGCACCTCCCAATCCTGGCGAACAGACATACAAGCATACGATGACCCACACAGCGAGAACAATTCTTTGACTAAAATTGCAAACGTAAAAGATAAATATGCTACATTTTGACTTAATTGCTTAGAGAGCAATGGTATTTACAGGCACTAAAATTGTACACCTAAGTTACTTTCAACAAATTCATACATCCCTTTGAAAGTCCAAATTTTTATGCAAATTCGAAATTACATTTAAACAAATTCGATCTACTAATGTGGAATTCTGGGTACAAATTCGACCGTAGTAAGCCCTTCTTTCATTAATAACATAAAATAAAAAATTATTTCATATTAGTACTTCGCATCAATTTGGAGAATGAATGGTTGGTGTAATAAATTCAAATGTGGATTGATCTGATTAAATATTCAATGATAGTTGACCACGATCATTATAAAAATGCCTGCTCTAAAGCCTTGACTTTAAAGTGGGTACTTTTTAATTAAACCAAAAGTGTAATTAAAAGCGAAAATCATAACATCGGTTTCTAAGTTCTAATAAAATTTCCTCAAACTGCGCATTGGCATTTATTGTCAATTGATCGAAAATTTTAATTTTTTGCTCTCAAGTTAGTATTTCTTGCAGAAACAATAAAAATGGAGCATGGTTTGTGTTTTCATCGACAAGATTCCAACATGTTTGTCGATGAGAAATTTGTCGTGACGAAAAATCATCAAAAGTAATGTTGAATAGTTTTTGAAGCAAAGTAGCATTAAACAGTGTTACAAAAAGGGGTGCCCGATAGACTTACTTCCATGTGGTGCATCCTGGGCAACGTATACTCACACGGCAAAAAAGTCTCTTGACCGACAGTTGACTTCTGACTTTTAACTAACGTGACCCCATTTTATGCCATATTCGACCACTTCCAAAGTACTCATCTTACCTCTTCTCTGCATTTGTGCCTGCCTGTCTCTTTTACATCCGTGTATCTCTCTTCTGTTCCCCCCCCCTGCCTCCAGAATTTTTCTCACTATTATGTTCTTCCCATCTATGAAGTCCGAAGACAACCTAAGGGATAATGATAACTATCAAAACGCCTGCCATTTGAAATAAATAAATAAATGTTACAAAATAACACTAGTAGCGTTTTGAATCTTGTATAGTGGTACTCAGGACAATTAATTTCAAATATTCTTATATTTAAAAGCCAATCGCATCATCTAAACCTTATAATCCTTATCATTGTAATTTGTCATAAAAGTCATTTATTTTGATTGTATTTTCATTACGAAAAAATGGTATTTACGCAGTTGATGCGGCTTATGACTAATCTCCAATGGTCATATAAATTCAATTGCTTAAATTTCATGAAAATAAATGAATTTACTGGTNGGGGGCATCATTTTAGACTGACTTTTATGGTCAATGAGGTTGACTGTATATAGACTGAGGAACATCCTTTTTCTGAACTTTGAGTTTACAAACATACGTATTGACAACTGCGTAATTGGTGCACAAGTGTTCTACTACGCTTTCTCAAACCCCTCGTGACTTCATTGTGGAATCTGGATCTTCCAGTTTGGTGTGCTAGTTTTAATGACTCTTCGAGTAGATTTGAAAGTTTTTATTTCCAAGTATCTTTTCATCATCTTTTGCACTCAGATAATGAATTTTGACATGACAAAAAATCGAATGTTAATTTGAAAGCACCATGAATTCATAAGTTAAATTCAAATCGAATAGCAGCTATCAAGATGCATTGCCCAATGGGTTTTATATTCAAATTGTAATGCCAATCTAAAATAGATATTTTATTAATCCTCCAAACAAATCTATCATATTCTGCCCTTCATTAGCCAGTTTCGAGTTTTGTGCTTCTTGTATCGCTTATTTAGAGAAAATAGATTAAAGGCAGATTGTTAAATGACCATTTTCTTTTAGATTTGTCCCCACTGTACTGAATGTGTACACTGCCTGGTAACTCCCTATGGTGATTATCCCGAAAAAATGCGTCCATTGGGCGATAAGGAGCTCATCGTGCCTTGGTCTCGCAATCCCTCCAAATGTGCTGATTGTGCAAGAGCCGAGGTGAAGGGAGAAGTTTGTCCAGTCTGTCATCGTGCCTATGGATCTCAACCTCTCGAACTAATCCGTTGTGACGCCTGCGAACAATGGATGCACACCTCCTGTGCTCAATTTAGCAGTAATTGTCATATACTTTAGTCTAGTTATCTTATTGCTGTTGAAATCTATTCAATCGGAGTTAGTGTCAGTGGTGCTGCTGATGTGTAATTGTGACCATTCGATTTGAAGATGCGGTCTTGAGAAGTTAAAGCCCTAAGAGGAACTAGATTCTCTTTCATGATACAAGATGGTTTGTCCATAACTAAGGTTATAAAAATGAGTAATTGATTATTGACGATAGTGATCGGAGAAGAAGGGTTGGCCTACCTAGCTCTGTGTTTTTGACGAGTAAAGGCGCTTAGCTTTTGAGACGTAGGCTGTCAGTAGTGTACCGCCAGTCCATTTGATGAATATAATCGATATTTTCCTGCCGTGCTTACATCAAATTCGATCAATCGGTTTTGAAATAGGAGAACTGTTTATTCTCAGATTAACTTGGATTATGCGTTGCTTCTTCAGATGTTTTCTATCTCATTTGCTAACAGAACAGAGTCTACATCTAGAACTATTACTTACAATGAGCTTTGTTTTACTGTTCGTACAGTGTGCCCCAGGAAATCGACTAACATTTAAATTTTTTCTTCTAGTTGATCAATTTGAACTGATGAGGCTCTATCCCAAACAACTGCGAAGTTATGTCATCCTTTGTACAGCTTGTGAGCCAAACCAGGAGAAGTTTCTTAAAAAGAATAAGGGTGGTGGTGGTGATAAGAAACAGCTATGCCAACTCATGTGCACGGCCCTCACAGCGCGGTTGAATGCCCTGGTAGACGCCTGTGCAATGCAGCCCCTTGTTGTTGGGGGTGAAACTTCCTCGTACTCATTTCATCATCAGTACACTCCCACATCCCTGGCCTCCTCCTCAACAACAACGGCTGATCGACGAAATTTTGCTCAAGCTTCTTCGCCCCTTGATTACACTGCCACCTCCTATCGTTACATGCATCAAATGGATGGTATGAATGATAGCGATGAAGATGAATTCCACCCTGATCAACAAATTGGGCCAGAGATGCGGGAAGAGTATGAGGGGCTTGAAGAAGGCGAGGAAGAAGGAGGCGAAGTCGAATTCCATCCGCCTGATGAGCAGATTCCTGAGGTGATCAACCAGGATGCCTATATGCCCTCGTGGTTAATTCATGATGAATTGACTCCACCTCCTATTAGAGCTGATTGGCTGTTGAATTCTCTGGGATCGGAATTTTGGATCACTCCTGTGAGTATTTGAGATCATTTATGGCAGTGGTCAACGTGCTCTTTTGTAATGTCAGAGATCATGGTATTAAAGCATACTGAATGAGTTGAATGGTCAATCGTACTAGTTAAGCTAGGCTAGTGAAATAAGGCCGGAAATGAGGATTTCTCACAATGTTGTTTCCAAGATGAGTGTTAGAAAACGTTTTTCTAACTGAGCCTGAGAGTTATGTAATGCCATTGGCGTCGAACCTGGCTCTCAGTCTAGGCTGTTTTGTAGCCTTTTTCTCTTTTATCGTTCTTCCATGCTATTTTCTAGCCCCCATGACTGTTGATTAAATGTTTACTTTCACTTTTTTATGGGGGGGGGGTGCGATAGACTTACCTCCACGTGGTGCACCCTGGGCAACATATACTCATACGGCAAAAAAGTCTATTAACCGGCAGTTGACTTCTGGCTTCTAACTACCACGATCCCCCCCCCTGGTTGTCATATTCGACCCCTTCCACAGTATTCCCCTTACCTTTTTCTCTACCTTTGTGTCCGTCTATCTCTTTTACATCTGTGAATCGCTCTTCTGTTCCCCACCCCTCGACTTTCTACTACTTTGATGAACCTTCCCTCAGTGAAGCCCGAAGCCAGCTAAATGGCTAATGATATCTATCAAA